AAAAAAAGTTCCATACCTGGAATGATTGGCCCTCGGTTCGTATCCCATCACCGGAATCATCAAAACCAACTCCGCGTGAATAATGAGACGAATACAAGCCTGCTCTTCCAGGTCTACCACGTCCACGATCCACACTGCTACCTCTTCCACGGCTACTACCAATATTAGTTATCCCTCCATTCCACATGCGCTGCAAAATTCAAATACATACATTTACATTACAAAGGATATTTCATTAAATAAACTTATTCCAATTGTACATAATTTTGTAATAATAATCCTGAACAAAGCAGTCATATAAAAACATTATTCAAAAAAAATACATTTGTTTCATAGTATTGTTAAAAAGTATATAGTAGTGTTTAAAAAAGCGAACATTTTCAAAACTTTAAAATTACATCAAGAACAGTTGTAAAAAGAAATATTTATTCAATTCATTTTGGATTAATGCTTCTTAATGTTTCTCACAATTAAAAATAAATATTTAATATAATACATAGACAATAACAAATTAAAAAAATATCAAATAAAAAGTAATTTAATTATAATTTATCGTTAATATTATCATCAAAATGCAAATAAACAAATACTTTTGATAGAAATATACGTGTGTATTCACAAATTTCTCATTCTAAAATTTCATTACAACACTTCCTTGATTTTTACTAATTTCATAATTTTCCTAACATTTAATAAAATTTCGAAGTTTTTTGTATTTTCGTCCAGATTGGACATCGTTTTATATTTTGTTGAGAGATCAATTTAACATAGCAATGTAAATTACTATTAATGCTACTAACACACTTGCATTTTTAATTTACAAGTTGGTAATGTCCCAAAACTATATTGGTGTGATGAAAATACATTAAACTTCTTTAAAGCCAAGAATTTTTATTTTCAAAAATATTTTGCAAAATTCTCTGACTTTTCCCTGATCGTATTCAATTTCCTTGATTTCCAATTTTATGGTAACTCTGTAAGAACTATTGCAAGAAAACTAGAATTGTTAATTTTTAGACAATCTCTAATATAAGATAAAATAAGAATATACAATAGTATTACAATTTCATAGCGTTTTCCTTTCCTTATTAGCAAAAATAAATTAAACTATGCTTCAGATAATGAACAAAATCATCAAAGAACAAAGTATTATAATATTATTACATACACTTTACACTTTTTTTGATGTGATTAGTTACCGTTTCATCATCTGTCATGGTTGTGAGAGCCAATGGAAGCTGAGTTTTCTCCACATACAGTGTTGGAAAAGTTGTCAATGGCTCCGAAGGTTTACAGTTGCGATCGAACAAGGCCAGCATCTCTTCCCGGCCATATCTATGCTCTGCTAACTGATAACGAGGTGTACCCAGGGTTATTGTCCCTCCACCACCACTACCAGTATTGCAATTGTCTCCTGACGAAACCTTGCGCAACCTATGTATAATAAATATAATAAATACAATATAATTCTAAACATAACTAAATAACATTTTAATGTTTCAGTAACATAAATTACATACCACTCTGGACCAAATTTCATGGAATCAGTCATGATGCACTATCTCCTGAAAAAAAGGAAAGCAAGAAAAAAATGTAACCTACAGTTTATAACAAAGAAGCACAATATAATATAACATAAAAGAACATAACATGTTGCTATAAAGATAAGTCTTAGAAAGCATCTTACAAAAATCTTGAATACACAGGAATCAGATTGTGTAACGTGACAGTTCCGAGGTGTTTTTTTATCAGGTGCTGAATGATATTCGCAAAAACGAATATTTGCCAGACTATGTGAAAATTAGTAAGAAACTGAAAGGCAGCGAGCATAACGCAACTTCTAGCAAGGAATCGCAGGTAGATGAAAAAATTTCCTCCCCGTCGCGGCGGGGGATCCGTCATCTGTTATAACTTGAATACGGACGTGTGATGCGTACGATACGAAAAATCTAACGCAACGATCTTCGCGCAGCAGGATTTACAGACCGACAGGCTGTACCTGTTGCTCAAAGGTGTACCGGCCATCGGTGATCGCGCGCGTGTACCTCGACGAACGCGGTGACACGTAGAGCGACGTAAGTCCGAAAAGAAACGAACGTGGAGGGTGGCACACAACAGAGCAGCAGCGCGAGTCTCGTTAATCGCATGCATCTCCGGGGGACTCGCGTCTATGGCGTCACGACACAGCCAACGGTGGCAGCGTCGAGCGTCACGGACGTGCGTTACCGCGAGACAGCCGCGTATTTCATATGTATCCCATGACGTACTCTCATAAAGCGCAAGCGGAGGTGGTTACTCCGCGAGCCGAGGTGGCAACATTAACCAAACTTTTTTTGCTGGCGAACATCGGGGTGATTTGCATGCGCGACGGATCGCGAGAGGGACGGCGCGGCCACGGGGAAAACGATCAGTCGGCCGAATCCCGCACGACCGCGACGTAGAGCACGGTGACGGGCCTCTGGGAAAAATACCTTTGCTGATCTTCGAAATTACTGAGGGCAGCGATACAACACACCAATATGGCTGATGGTTTTTTTTGGAATAAAGCGCATGCGAAACTCCGTCTGTGGTATGCTTAGGAGGAGGCGTGGAAAGTTACTAGGATTATCGCGCATGCGCACAAAGAGGAAACTGATCGGAGTAGGAAACGATTGGAAGACTAGAGTCCTTTAGTATAGGGACTCTAAAGGAAGACACGTGTCTTCTTTTTCTTCCCCTTCTTCTTGAACTTCCTTCAATGGAGATAAGGCTAACTTTAATTTTGTAATGTCTAGAGAACACGTGTAAGACGCCGTTGACGTTTGAGTACTTTGTTACTTTTCGAGAGAGATTCTTGGAATTACAAACCTTCGAATTTTTTTAATTCATCTCTTATCTAAAAATCTTCTCCCGAATTCATTTGTTCATTTTTGAATTTAAATTTTCTAGGAAATTTTTTGATAAATATTAATAATTATTTACGATCGATAAAAGCAATACTGATTTTATCGGCCATACATAATCATCAATATTTGTAAATCACAAAAATGGAAATATTAAAAAATCTTTTATTTGACGATATTTCTCATCTAGCATATATAATAATAATTATTATTGTCTGGCATCTCAGCACAATTTTCGGGGCATACTTCTAGAGATTTATTCATTCTTTGTTAATGTATGCAACGCTCTTTTTATTAGAGCTAATGATTTGCTTATAGCGAAGGCTTCAACATTTGAACTTTGAAGCTTCAAAGTTTGACTATTAAAATCTTTCAAGATCAAAGAATCGAAATTATACAATTGTTAATTGAATATAGCTAATAGTTATATTAAATTATGATATATACTTTCATTAAAAAATATAGGTTTACGAATATATACTGTATTTTCCTAAATTTCGAAAGAAAACAGCCCTACTTATTATATTTGGATAATTAATGTTAAAACCGTAATGCGTGCGTTGTACCATAATTTTTAATATTTTAAACAAGTTTGAAGAAATCATCGATATAGTGTGTGTGTGTGTGTGTGTGTGTGCGTATATATATATATAAAATTAA